ACAATTACCACGGCAAAGGAAATTTCGACAGCCGCTTTTCCAACTGAGTTTTCTCTGCTTTGAATGCTTTTCTTTTTTTTTTTTTGGCTAATTAAGGTCACGTGACCTGGCTGCAAATATGCCTCCTTGTTTGCGTCTCCTGTGCGGCGATGCATGCGCCTGGAAAATGTGTGCTCTCGCATCAAATGCAGCCCGACTGCTGAGCCGCCCCCAATCCGGCCCCGCCCCACCACAAGCCCATCCAGCCCAACCCAACCCATCGGCTGCGGCACTTGATGGCTTCGGCCACTAAAAGAAACGCAACGCATGGTTCACGCACATTTGCGCAGAGACGACGAGCGAAGCGCCCATTCGGGCAATTATCATACGCCGAAATCAAGAATCGCCCCACCCCACACGCCCCGGCCCGCCCCGTAAAGTAAGACCGCCTGCCATGTTCAAAGCAAAGTTTTTCCATGGGAAAAAACAAACTTAACAGAGAAAATTACGCACACGAATTGCGCTGGACAATAAAAAAGCTAAAGCGCAAAAAAAAGAAAAAACGGCAAATAAATTATGAACAGTAGAAGGTTGTGTGATGGGCGGTTGCGGGGGTGTGGAGGGATCTGTGAGAGGTGGGGGCCCTACTTGCGCGTCTAATTTGTTGGAAAATTAGTTTGTGTGTTTTGTGCGTGTAATTTCCATGCAAGTTTTGGTTTCAGACGAGTTCTGCAGTTGATTTTGATTGAAATACGCAAAAAAAGAAAGGGCAGCCGCTACCGTTTACTGAGAGAAAATGAGCGCAAAGGGGAGTTTAGCAATTTTGGGGAGAGGGTAGTTATGACAATGTCTTCAAAGTGATTACAAGATTTTGGATAGCAAGCACTGTGGAATACTTACACTAAATAAAACCTATTGAACTCTTTTATTTTGAATATTCATTGCATAATGCTGCCATATTAAAGAAGTGGTAAACAGATAGACTTGATAAAAAAATAATTGCATATGAGAGAGAGAGAGAGAGAAAGAGAGAGAGAGAGAGAGAGAGAGCTGAGAGTTTCAAAGGAGTTATCATCCTTGCCCTTCAATTCCCACGAACTTTAGTTAGTGGAAGTTAAATATTTTACCATTTGTAATGGAATTTCTGGTGTAAACTCATTCTGAGTTGTTTTAGTCTTCTCAAGTTTATTTCAGTTTCAAGTTTTTATTGTCCAGACACGTTTCTGCTCGACTTTGATGCTGTCTCGGTGAGCCACGCCCACCTGCTAGTGAGTGCGGTTTAATAAACGTTTTACCAAACTGCCCCTCATCCCTTGGCCAATCAAACGCATCAGCAACAGGCTGGAGCCGGAATTGGAGTTGAAGTCAGAGTCGGAGCCAGAGACATGCTCGTAATCATGATGATCTTCCATGGTAAATTGCATGCACGCCTTTTTAACCCAAATATGATGTGCCCGTTGCCCCTCTTCTCCTGTATCTCGAGCCGTTGCCTCGTTGCGTCGATTGTCAGGGGCCGATAAGCAGGCACCGCGTGCTTTTATTATGGAGCAAACGAGTGGAGCGCCTCGCCGCATGGATTAATGAGTCGCGATCTTGCGGCGCGGCTGGAAAAACGTTTACGTGACTGAATTTTCAATTATTTTTTATTGCACTCGGTGCTGCTAGGCTGCGGCTGCGGCTGCGGCTGCAAAGTTGCAAAGTTGCAGGCCGCCTTTAATTGCAGGAAGTTGCATTTTGAATGTGCAATTTATTAAGAAATTATTTATTGTTCAATGAAATTGATTTTGAAAGTCGCGTGACGAGAAGTTTGGCATTGTGTGTGGCGGGCACACAAACACATGCTGCCAGGCTGCTGGTTCCACATAATTAGGCAGCATAGCTGCAACGATCTCGCTGCGATCTGTGATCGTGCCACATTTCAGGCCTTTCCACATGACTTCTAACACCTTGTCGCTGCACACGATCTGCAAAAGCCGCTTTCCCGATTTCCTGCCACACCCACTTGCGCCTGCTATTCGCTGGCAATTAATTTGATTTGATGGCTGGCCCTGGCCCAGGCCCGCGCTGACTTCAGGCCCAGTTGCTGGGCTGCTGCCATTGCTGCTGCTGCTGCTGCTGCTGCTGCTGCTGCTGCGGTTCTCTAGCTCATTGCCTGCTTTCAAAGTGCATCCAGTTGCGAGTTGGCATCGCTGCTGTGTTGAATAATTGACTGCTTTGATCTTATGGCCCGGGTGACGCCTGGAGCAAGCAGAGTTCCCTAAAAATAGGCAGTCCCCGTCGAGGCACTTTGAAGTGCACATAACTACATATACACATACTCTTAGGTATGTTTAATTAAAAACGTGCGCTTATGAAAATAAACAGCCGTCAAAGTGGCAGAAAACTTCCCTGTCAAGAAGTTTGCATGCCATTTGACAATTGTGGAAAAAAAAAAACAATGACTTTCAAGCCGGGCGACACAGTTTGGAGACCAAGTTAAGTGAATAACTTTACTGGCCTTTCATTTCCCTCTCAGCTGGTAGATCTGGGTCAGCACCTTTAAGAGTTCGCCTTCAGCTGCAGCCTTCGGGGCAGCGCACGCTATCTTGGCTTATGCGGCTCATTAATCAAATTAAATTGCATGAGAATTACGATGAGAATTTGTATCGTTCACTGCGCCCACAAGTAGGCAGCGTTGCGTGGCGATGCCACGCCTCGATTGCTGACCACCCCAAAGGGGGCGCGGCGATAAAGGGGTGGTGCTTGTGCAGCCAGCCGCAAAGATTGCGCGACAGAACACTCAGCATTTGGTGTCCAGTCCCACCATATGAAGGCATAGGCGCCTATATCCATCCCACTGTTTTTATACTGAATAACTTCGACAAGATCATATCTAGATGCGTTTATCTATAGCAATATAGGCTATAGATAATTGCAATGAGATTTGATCAATAGCTGAAAAGCGGGCCGCCCCACGACTTAAACATTCTATTAAAGAAACAACAAACTCAACAGGAAAGACGTTGTTCGACAAGCCGAACAACTAAATACCCTCACAGACGTATTGATTCGCAGGTTCGTTGAATATGTCTTGAAAACAAATTAAAAAAAAAAAACAGTTTAATTTTCGACTGATAATTTTTGTGGAAGCTATATGATACAATTTCCCGATCTGGTTAGCCTGCAGCAACAAAACAACTGTGAGATAAGTTTGCATAGAAACAGTTAGATGGACATGCATATGTCAATTCGATTTCTGATACTGGTCTTGAATATATACTGCAAACCTTTTGAGGAGCGCTGCGCAGTATCACCAACCATAGAACAGTTGTCCAGTCCATATGTTCTATGGTTAGTGGCAGTATCCAGCATCAGCCAGCACAAACACACATGTGCATCTATTTTTGTATATGTAAGTGAGAATGTACTTAACCGCAGGATTAAATGTTTACTTACATTGATTTAAACTTTCAGATAAACACATAAAATATAAATGGTCACAATACAATAATAACAATTGCATCAGAAAATAAAAATCAAAATCACCGTTTTATACTGTCAACAGCTGTTGGAATGTGGTGGATGTTCGACCGCAGGGTACCGATGATCGATGACTATCGATACGTAGAAGAAGTGTTTATATTGTCTTTGATGAAATATAATATTATAAATAATTTTTATTAAAATCTAATAATTATACTGTTAATGAATTTAATAAATATTTAACCCTTCTTGAAATATACTTCTAAAATGAGTTTAATAAAAAAAATAATTCAATTGGCAATTACAATCGAATTGTTCAGGTTTTGATGTTTTGAAACAAAAATTGATTTCGGAAACGGAACTACCGAACATTTTATATACTGGAAGGGAAGGGAGCTCAATGATCCATGCAGACGCTGCTGCTGCTGCTGTTGCTGAATGCAATGTATCTAGCACGTGGCAGTGGCAGCAGTCGTGTGGAAACGGCGTTAAATGACAAATTACAAGTATTTACATGCAAAACACAACAAGATGTTGCTCCATAGCGAAATAATCGATGAAGTGAGCGCGTGCCTGGCAAGCGTTGCGGAGCATCAAAAAACACGGCAACCACAGGTTGACAGAGTGCCGCCAAAAAAAGACGAGCCGACGAATAGTTGGTGATGTGGGGAAAGAGGGCAACAGGCAGGATGCGGGTCGTGTAATTGAGCGTAAGAAGCCAAACGGCGAAGACGCTGGCGCCACCTGTCGTTGAGTGTGCGCGCTCAAATTGATTGCATTAATTGTATAAAATTGTTGCAGTTGTTGTTGTTGCTGTGTGCAATTTAATGGCTCCAGTGAAAACTGCAAACGATTGCCAAGCTTCATCGGTTGCGCAAGTTCATTAAATGTCTCAAGTGGAGGCGTGGCAGCCACTCAAATCAAATGCAATTAGCAATTGACACTTGGGCGGCAGTTTGATGCAGTTTGGAAACAAGAAAGTTGACTTTGGATTTGTTACCAATAATAATCTTGGGATCTTAGCAACAACTAATTATTTCTCTCCTCCGCATCTGCTTTCATATTTGGCAAATTATACAGAAGTGCGATTTAATATTGAGAATAGTGAAGCTCTGATTGGCAATTGCTCAGTTGGATATATGTACAAATGTACATACATATGTATGTATCTTAAAAATAAAAAAAAAAAAAACAGGCAAAAACAAATTTATTGATCGCTTCAGTTCGATGTTGATACGATTTTGATCATATGTATGTATGTGTGAAGCATTTTTGAACTTCTTAACGCCAAGTTTGGTTAGGATATAATGAAAAACAAAAAACTTTCTCAAATTTTTGAGCGATCGGCTGACTTCCGACTTCTTGAAATTTTTTACTTAAAGAAATTAAACTAGCCAATTATCGTATAAATGCCAGTTGATGATACGTTGAGCAATCGATAGAAGCAGCGTGATCTGAATAATCGTTAATATGAATATGTAATCGATATTCCTTCAATTTCCATGTGCAAATCTGCACTTCGAAAACCATTTTGCAAGCAGTGTGTAGTTCTTTCCTTTGCACATTTCACAGTTCACATTAACAGCGAAACGTCGTAAAGTGAAGTTATCAATATGTCTTATAAGGAAGAATGCAGTTATACAAAGTTTGATTGCTTCAAAGCTTGTCACACATGGACCATCGAAAAGTTTTCTTTGTTTAATGGATATGAAACATCTTATTCCCTTTTTTCAAATTACTTTGATGCCTATAATGAGTGTAGCCCGAGTATTAAACGTTTTAGATTAGAACTTTATAAAAAAAACACGGATTTTTGTGTACGCGTAAAAAGAAACAATGATATCTTTAACTGTTTCAAGGCTTACATCAGTATTTCTATACTGAATACTACAATTAAAAAATGTATTCCGAATTCATTCTCTAAGGATACAACAATTTTGTTAGTTTCGGCTAATGAACTATTTGATAAAACGAAGGTTTTATTGCCCGAGGACAAACTTATAATTCGCTGTGAGATGTTTCTGTTTTTCGAAAATTACACGATTTTGTCCATCAAAATTCCCGAGTGCGAATTGGCCACAAATTTTGCTGATGTACTTAATTCTGAGGAATTCACAGATGCAACAATTGTGACTAAGGACAACCATGAGATACCAGTCCACAAGGTTATACTTTCAGGTAAGAAACAATGATATACCGAAATATTACACGCTATCAACAAAATTTGATGTTCACAGCCCGCAGCAAAGTGTTTGCGGCCATGTTTAAGAATCCAATGGAGGAAAGTCGTAACAATCGTGTTATCATTAGCGATTTCAACCATGAGGTTGTCAAAGAATTGCTGAATTTCATCTACACGGGTAAAGCACCTCAATTGAAAGACGTGGTTGAAGATTTGCTGGTTGCTTCTGACAAATACGACCTCGGCAGACTGAAGGCAATGTGTTTAAAATACCTAAGTGACAACCTTTCCATTGAAACTGCGGCCTTGACGTTCGTCTTAGCCTCTCTTTATAATGAGGACGAACTGAAATTAAAGTCAATCAATTTTATTAAAACACATGAAAATAAGGTAATGAACTCATCGGACTGGAGGAGTGTCCTCACCACACATAAAAATGCTCTATTGGAGGCATTTGTTGATTCCAAACTAATCAAAATGATATTTAACACTAATATTAATTGAAGACACGAACTGCAAAAATTATGAATTAAAGTATAGTAACAAAGCACATCTTGTAGAAAAGGTGCTTCGCTATACCATTATAATTTTAATTACTTTTTTTAATCCTTGGAGTTAAGACAATAAGAAACAACTGAATATTTTAAACAATTAATGAATTAAAGTAAACAAACAAATTCTGAAGAAAAGTTTCTTCGCTGTACCATTATATTTTAATTGCTCTGACTAATCCTTGAATTTTGAATCATAATAAATTCTTATTACACAAAATTTAAATATGAATATAATTTAAATATATATATATACATTATATTCGGTTCATAGAGTAAATACGGGTATTTTTGGTTTAGTTTGTGCAGTCTCCGTCTTGCTGTCCATCAATCTGTCTTCTTTTTATACATACACACATATGTGTTTCGCGCAGATGGAGATATCTCCGACCACATAAAGTGAATATATCTAACATTATCATTTACCGAGGCGATATAGCCATGTTCGTCAGTTTGTTTCAATGCACACTTAACTAAGTTTTAAAGCTATCGTTATGAGCAATTTGCATAAGTCCGTCTTTATATCGTTCTGTCTGTAACCCACTCTAGTAAGCCCAATTCAAGCCAAGTAAACTTTGAGATTAACACAAAAAATGGTACAATAATTTGCATTGCATCAGAAAATAAAAGTAAAAATCCCCGTTTTATGCTGTAAACAGCTGACGGAATATGGTGGATGGTCGACTGCAGGGTATCGATAATCGCAGTAAATGCGATCACATGTTTTCACCTAGAGATCATAGAAAATGTTGAATATAAACATGGCATTTAAATTTATAATACACACTATTTCAACAATGTTTTTTATTGTGAGTTTTTCGTATAATCACAAATGTAGACAGCCAATAAAACATTCAGTTGTGCACGTGAGCGAGAAATATTCTTGTTTTTCAAGCTCCATAGTTTTCCTCACTATCAACGAGGGTAATTAGTCTTCGGCGTGCTGAAGAGAGCTATTCTTGGTTGTTTGTTCGTTGATTTTGAGGCTGGATATTTGCAATTTTAAATATTGTATACATTCGGGTATCGATAAATATACCATACTCTTACTTACTAGATGGCCTGTCCTATCCAAGTGCTGGCATTCAGTTGTGGGACTCTCAATGTCCGGGAAACTATGTACATTGTTGTGGCGGAATCTACACACACGCCAACTTTTAAATCATTTCGACGCCACGCAATGCACGCCTTATGGAATGGACCCGCCTCTCCCCCAAAGCGTTGGCATCTCAAGATCGCATGGCATGGAGTGTGAACAGCGGGTGCCGCTCTTTTTTTTTTCTTCATTTTTTTCTGTGCTGTCAAAACATGCCAGCCGATGTGGGAGCTTGGTGGCGGGGGCCACATGCTGGCAAGTGCCTGGGCTCATAAATTGCCGCTATCTGCGGACTGTATCTGAATCTGTATCTGTATCTGAAGCTTTGTATCTGTTATGGCTCGAGCCTTGCAAAATATGCTGCTAATTGAATTGAATTGAACTTGGGCACAGTTCGATGAGCTGCGATTTTCCGTGTGATTTATGCGGGTGCGGGCGGGCCAAATGAAGTGCTAGCCAGTGCCAAGCCCTGTATGTCATTGCTAGTTTTAGCGACTGGTAGACAATAAAGCCAAACAACAGGCACACAGGCCACATTTGGCTTTGGCAAGTGCGATTCCCCCGAGAGAGGAGAACTCGGGAACGTTCTCAACCAATTAAACCAGTTTCCTGTCACAGTTGCTCGTTTCGCAGAATCTTTGGTTTATTTTTGCTGGCGTCGTTCATTTGATTGCACGCTGATGAAATAACAAGGCCGAGACCCGACCCCTCCACACTCTTCCCAGCTGCTCAACCAGCGACGCCCTCATAATCAAACATTGCCCCAGCCGGAGCGTCTGCGCAGACGCAGCAGAAAGAGCGAAGAAAAAAAAAATAAATTAAAAATTAAAAAAAAAGAGGCCGAAGATCAGCACTTAACGTACGAAAAGCGAAAATAATTTAGCGCAAAACGTGCGAATATTTACTTTGAACAAAAGGACAAATACGAAGCCAACTTCCAACTCAACTCAAATGGAGCTGGCCCCAAAATGCTTCTCAGTCTGAGTCGGAGGCTCCGTCTCGACTGATGCACTGTGAGAAACAGCCGCCGCTTGTGCATATACCCCTCCCGGGCATAATTGGGGGCGGACAGCTGGACAAGCAGACTTCGAGCTGATGTGAATCTGTTGGGCTCTAAAACGAGCTGCTGGTATTATTCGGAGCCCACGAGCTGTGGGGCAATTGGATATAGCTGGTACTGCTGCACGTACATATTTCAATTTGTAGGTTTTAAATTGCATTTTTTGCGAAGTTCGACTAATTATTTGTATCTACACTATTTACAATTCAAACATCAATACAATGAAACGATTGTTAAAAACTTTAATTCAAGTAGTTTTCATTTTCATGTTGATCGACTAGATGAGTTAGGATTATATCTATTGCCAATGAATTTCTGAAAATATCTTGCTAGATCTGGACGAGCGTCATGCGGCAATATTAGCTGCAATGAACTTTTATCATATTCCATCTGCCCAACCATCTAATCCCTGGCGGTCTTCTCAGCAGTTTCTATTTGACACTTGACAGGGGATTCGGACAACAGGGAGCGGGTAGTCCAGTGTGCAACGCGGTCGTGACTACATCTATATATATATATATATGGACGTGCAGTGTGCAGTGCAGTTGACAGCTCGAGTCCAAAATGGTGGAAAGTTGTTGCGACTCTTTATTTGCAACAAAAGACAAAACGTCGGCGGCGACAACAAAAATTACTACCGAAACGAGTTTGTTTCGAGCTGCTCCTTTGTTTGTTATATGTATTTTTTCTTTTCTCGCTGTGGTACTTGCGACGAAATTGAAAATGCATTTTTAATGATTTGTTGCTGTGCGCTGCATGTGAAAATATCACGGGCAGTGCATCAATGGATGAGCTATGTGGGTTGCAGCTTCAAAGATGCGGTGACTGACCCTTAACGAAAACAGTCTGAAAAAATATACCACGATTCGGCTTGATCCTCAGGCGCTGCTCTGACTCATCTGGTAAGAGGAGAGAAGAGTTTCCGAGAAACATTTTGCGCGGTTTCCAAAATCAACAACAATAAAAGGTATTCGCAATTTATGGCAATGCCAATGTGGAGCACTTAAAGACAAAAGATACGCAATGCGGTATTATCAGGAACTTATTCGCAGCGTGTCGAACCGAAATAAATGAAGGAAATTATGTTGAACAGATCGCCGATTTTTGAATACCCTCACAAATACAAATGGAAATCTAATCTTAATCAGTTTATAAATTAAAAGGTTGTTTTTAGTTAATATGGATCTATATCGACTTAATGTGGTCTACTCAATTAACTTATTAGGTTCACAGTCCATAGTAGTATTGTAGAAGAAGGGGTTTTAAGCGTAAATTAAGTTTCCAATCAAAGGTTGTCAGATATGTTTTGCAGAGAACTTTGATGACATTTCCAAATTCTAAGCCGAGAGGATTATTAAAAATGTCACATATCAATAAAAATATGTTGCAAGTTATCTCAAAACTGATGTTAATTAAAAATGTCGGCTAAAGCAGGCAAGCGGGAGGGAGGGAGAGAGAGTTATGGCTAGCGCTCAGGGCACACTTGATTAATTGTCCTTAGAGTGTCATGCGTTGGGAACACACAAACGACAATACTTGACTTTCGGTTGGATGCTATTGCTGAATATTGAAAATGGAATTTAATATGCCAAAATATTGCCGGACACTTGAGGCTGTCATTGGCAGGAGCGCACGTATGGATATAGAAACGAATACATATATAGATACAGAATGCTGTAAAATTGATGATAATGAAGTGCTGCAGCTGCAGATACATTTGACAGGGCGAAAGCTTGAAAGCAAATAAGCAAATGCCAGAGACAAAAGATGTCATTCGAATATCTAATGGCTGTGCTGTGTGTGCTTGAGCAATTTGTGAAGCATCTTTAAATGTGACAACATGTTGTTTGCAACTAGTAGATACAAAAGTATCTACAGCTGTCATATCAAGTGACAGCTGCCCACAGCTCTACGATAGCGTATTATATCCACTTTGGATTGCCGGTTCAGCAGAAGCATCAACAGCAGCAGCAGCAGCTCCTCCAGACTGCGGTTTTGTGTGTTTTACTGCGGTCAATGGTATTTGCTTAAGAGGATTTGAAAAATTTCAAATTAAGTGGATTGCTTTGAGCTGCCTTTCATAGCCGCCTGGCCTGCGGTTGCCTGCATAATTGTCCTCGTTAGTCAGGCGGCATGTTGAGGCGCCACCAAAACCCCTTTGACGTGGCAATTTGAATGACGGCCTGCAAGTCATCAGCTGGATAGATACTGAACTTTTAATGCTCACTTACCTTTCAAATGGACGTGCTAATTGAAAGATGCGCACATTGTCTGTCAGGCTGTTAACTGCCAATTGGCTGCTTGAGCCTCGCCCTTCTCCTTGGCCAAAGTCAATTTGTCGCTGTACTTATTCACATGCATAAATTCCAAGCCAGCTCAGCAAACGAGCTGACAGCAGTACACGAAGTTCACGTTGCACATTAGAACTTTGAATGCCAACTCGCAAATGAACTATAAATAATTAATTTGAATTACTGGGATAAGAAAAATACAACACCATTTAGGACTTATATCGAGAATAAACGAGAGTGGCTTATTGTTGTTATGTTGCTATGCTTAAAGAAGAGGCTCTTATAAGAATTGTGGACTCATCGTTTAAAATGATCTTTTCATTGCGTATTTAAATTATTTTCTGAAATGTTATCGAATTCGATACGACTCTTGAAAGAATCAAAGATACGATTTCCAACAACGGTTGTTATAATCAATGCTTGAAACTTTGATAGAATTGAATTCGTGAGAATCGCATAGTAGGGACACATTTTAACATAAATACTTTTTTTCACTTGCAGCATAGAAGAATATAAATAGATCACCTTATTTATATATACAAAACTTATTTCAAATGCAGAAACAGCCCTCGCATGCACATGCAGAGCAATTCGCAGTTTTGGCTGTCAGAAAAACGAAATAAAAAGAAAAAAACTATCGAAACGTAAATGCTCGACAGCAACAAATCGCCCGAAACAAAAGAAAAA